ATTTAGTATTATGTTGTACTTCTAGATCCCTCCTGGTATAACATCACATTCCCCCGCCTACCTGTACATGACATCATAACACTTCTGCTTCCTCACCACCAGCCTCACACAGACTGACACCCTCATTCGAGACTCCATACATGAACGCCCGCGCGTACACACACAGCAGATTTAACACTCTGCTGTTCCCATAATTAACATTTCCGTTTATAGCCACTCAACCTGTCCATATTTGCCTTTGTTAATTTGTTTACAGCTGGTAAATTTCCATCTGATTCTCTGCCTGAGGTTTTACACAAACAGTGCTGCTGTACAGTTTGTTGAGGTGTTTGCTGATAACTGCTCTGTGTGCCTTTAGCTAACCTCCTAGGGAAAAGCACAGTATTTAAAACTCGAACTGAAAAGAAATGTTATGGCTTTAGGTTTTGCTGTGCTGACTCTGTACTATGAATGCCCTTTCCCATTAGGCAATCTCTTTAAAAACTTTGTGGAAGTGCCTCTTTGAAGGCAATGCAAACTGCACTTGTGCTCCTATCACCAGGGAAAGCTGAGCTCCCAAGAGACACAAGAAGACGTCCAGATTTGTCATATTTTATGGTTGACTGCAATCAAAGATCAACCTGCCTGTAGAGGTTTCTCTGTGCTCTTATAGGGTAGATTTGCACAGCCTTGCATCCCTTAAAGTGGATCGCTCTGGTGTTTTGTTTTTTTTAATATTATCATTATTATTGTCTAACTATTATTTATACAGATTGTCTCATTGAGATCCACAATCCCATATACAAGAGACCTGTTTTAATGAAACAAACAAAAAATACAAACACAGCAACAAAACAACTTATTAAGAAATTTGAGTCAAATAAGCTGATTAAAAAAAAACTAGCTAAAACCAAGAACAAATTTGATAAGAAAACCATCTTTTTTTTTTTATTTAATTTAATTTTATTTTTAGAAGTTTCAATTGTCCTCTGCTATTAAAGAGTCCTGCAGAAGGAGAGATCTTTCTTTAGGGTCTTAATAAAACCAGACAGGAGTTTTTAAAGCTGCTGTAGTTTGAATTGCTGAGAAAGTTGATGATGCAGTTCGTTGTGCATGGCGCTGCATACCAGCCAGGTTGCCCGCACTGGCTATCATGTCACGCTTGCAGCTCAGATAAACTTTATATCTGACATGCTGGTCGGTCTGTGCGTGGATTTCAGCTTCGTTTAACCCGCAGCTCTGACGTGCTCGGCTCTGGTGAAGGTTTAAAACAATCACAGAAAGAAGAAAACCTTCAAGACCCAACAGGTAAATCCACCTCTTTGTCTCATGCATTATGGACCAGCAGCCTCAGCACAGAAACATGCCCCCTCCTCTCCCGACCGCGTCCCTCTCCTCCTCCTCCTCCTCCTCACTGGGATCGGTCTGTATCCGAGACACCTGTAAGTCCCGCGCTGTGTCGGCAGCCTGACCTACCTTTGTCATGCAGCCGCAGGCTGAGGTCTGTCCTGTGCCGGTAGGCGTGTTCCAACTCCGCCCCGGTGGAGAAATCGTCCAGTTTCACCTTTTTCACCAGGAAAGACCTTGGCATGATGGTGAGAGACACCGGCACGCACGCGAGCACGCACGCTCCCACAAACACAACGCACACGCGGACGCAGCGGTACACACACGCGCGCGCACACTCTCGCGGATGCAAAGCCCCTCGCCGACGGCCTGGCCAGCGTGGCGATCCGGTCCGTCCGAGCGATTGTCTTCAGGTTGTGGCGGGGAGCCGAGCTGCCGAATTATCCGGTCAAAAAGAGTTCTTGCTCTGCTTGAGTGTCTCTGCCCGGCCCGGTCCAGTCCTCTCGCAGGAATGGGAGTAAATGCAACTTCAGCACCGGACAGCTCCCACCGTAGGGAGGAAGAGGAGGAAGAGGAGGAGGAGGAGGAGGAAAAGAAGGAGGAGGAGGAGGAAGAGGAGGAAGGGGGGGGGTGCCTCGTGCTTTTTGCGCTCGCGGACAAACGGAAGACTGAAGGCTCTCGAGCAATAATGAAATTTAAAAAATAAGTATAAAAGGCGATGGAAGACACCTCGCAAAGCCCGGGCCTCTTTAAACAAGAAATGGAGGAGGAAGAAGGGAAGGACGAGGGAGGGATGCGAAGAAAAACAGAGATTTAAAAAAAAAATGGAATAATAACTTCGAATGCTTTTATGTATATATATATAAAAAATGCCTCTTTTACGAAAAAAAAAGTCCTTTATATCCCTTCAAGTAAAAAAAAATGTACAAAAAGGGACTCCGATGAATCAACAGATCCCCTCTTTCTCTCTCTGGATCCCTCTCTCTTCACTCTCTTCCCCTCGCCTCTCTCTCTCTCTCTCTCTCTCTCTCTCTCTCTTCTGCTGCTGCTTCGAGCTGTTCCCGCGAGTGTACCGTCTCGCGATCAGCTGTTGGCATTTATACGGAGAGAGAGAGAGAGAGAGAGAGAGAGAGAGAGAGAGAGAGAGAGGGAGATGGACGGATGGATAGACACAAGGGTGGAGAGAGTGCTTAATTTAATCCATCCCGTATCCCCTGGGAGCGGCGACTGGCCCGGATGATTTATTGAAGCTGTTATCACCCCCTCTTTCTCTTTCTTTCTCTGTCTTTCACTCTCCTTCGCTCTCCTTCTCTTCATTGCGTTGTGTGTGTTAGACAGAGAGAGAGAGAGAGAGAGAGAGAGAGAGAGAGAGAGGCAAGACGCCATGTTTTGTGGAGATAAGAATGGAAATTATTTTTTCAAGCTTTTCGTCGACTTGATTTAGCTATCTCAACGTGAAACATGCTTTTTAAAGATTGTTCCATTGTTCACAATGTTTTTGGGACTCATATTTCTTTTTCTACTACTAAGCTTATTTCTAGTTATTTTTTTTTCTATTTTTTCTGTGATGACAAGGATTTTAAAGGGGGGGGTATTAACTGCTGCTGAGAGCTTAGTAATTATCATTAATGTAGCCCTGAAGGCAAAAAGGGAGCAGACCAAATGGAGTGTTTTACAGTAGCCTAACCACCGGATTAATATGGAGGTAGGGCATATCAGCTCCAGGGTCACATTGGGTTCACTTGCAACTGTTTCTGATTTTTATGTGGGAAAAAATGTAATGTAATGTAACACTGAATGCACTTTGTCAGAATTACTGTTCTCATCAACTTTTCTGTTCCCTATTGAGTCTATAATGGGAATAAAAATAGGCCTCAAATTTGCATTTGATTAGGTTTAATGTACAGCATACACCCTTATGGATTAACTTTAATTTTAAAAAAAGAAAGAAAGAAAAGCATTGGGCTAGGCTTGCTAGGATACGTGTCTTTGATTGGTTTTCTTAGGACCCACAAATACACAAGAGGTTAAAGAGTTACCATCAAACATTACGCCCAATATGACACATACTGCTATGAAATACTTTAATGCTTGAATTTTACTGCTGCATTAGATTTTCACAGTTGTGCCATTTCACAAACACTTGTATCAAATGAGATATTGTTGGAGGAACATTGATCATGATTTCTAATCATCGATGTCAAACATCTTAGTATTGGTGGGGGACCGTTATGTTTTTATGTCATATCATCAACTCTTGTTGTACAAAGAAATTACATAAAGGCTCCTTGGTTCTTTCTGCATCAAGTTTATATTTTTCCCCCTGCTTAAGGTTATCTCTCTGGGTACTCCGACTTCCTCCCACAGCCCAAAAACATGAGTAAAAAGTCAACTAAATCATCTAAAAATACAATGATGTATGTGGTCACCAGCCAGCTTTTGCATTAATCATTGAGAAGGTTAGAAATCATTTTCAACATCTTAATATATTATTAAAAAGCTAAAGAAAAACAGAAATGTTTTTCAGCACACACACTCCATTTGCTCCAGTATTTTTCTTTTACCTCTTTCATTTTAAATTGAAAATAAACTTCATTGAATGAAAATAATAAATCTTTATTATAAAAGCCAGAAAGTTTTATTTAAAGGCCATTAGTGCACTGGATATTTTATTATCAAAATAGTTTGATGCTCTGACATTGAAAATCAGTGCAATTGTACAGAAAACACATTCTTTATATTACTGATATGTAATATTATTGCAGTTGTTGCCACCTAACATTCTGGAGCACTGCAAATCTGGAGTCTGCACGTACCGTACTAGAAGTAGGTTACACTAAATAGGCACTTTTTAGTGAAATTGCGAACAAGTTCTCCCAAATAAGCACTTTATAGCAATTCACTGAATTATTCCCTGAAGGTTTTCTCAGTCTTCTAGACCTCAGTTTATGTCAACAAATTCTTTAACTAAGATAATGCGAGCCAACTGCTATTACAAGATATTTGCATTTCCCTCTTTGCTCCAAATTATTTACATTTTCAGACCAGAGCCTTCTTTCCTAAAGGAGCCCCTGCTGCTGCTTGCAGCGACAAGGCTTGAGTACTTGTGAAACTTTGAAATCTGCAGCATCTGTCCTTTCTGTGTGATGACTGTGTACAACGTCTAGCCTTAACAAGCTGACTGAGCTCTGTGAGCTATGCAAGCTACGTGCAAGCTCAAATCCCTTAGGCCGCTCAAATATTTGCGCAACACCCCTTTCCTAATTCAAAGTTCTGCCAAACAAAAATTATTCAGTAATGGCTCATAAAATGTTAAAGTGAAAAAATAATATTCATACAACCTTTTGCATGAATGTGTTTTTAAATAATCACTGAAATCTGCCACAAACACATTCAAAGTTAATTGATAATTTGGCTTTTCACACACGTTTTCACAATTTTGCATCTTGCGCTCATTTGCACAATTTTCCAGATATTTTGTGTATCAACGTTATTAAAACTCTTGATGCTTCATAGCATTGCTACACCCGCTGCAATGACAATAATTAAGCATCTAGTTGTAGTGCAAACAGAAACATATGTTGCTTGTAAGTTGTTTTACATGCTTTAGTCACATCTGTCTCAGGGGAAACTTTTTTTTTTTTTAATCTGCTGCTTCAGTATTGAAATAAATAATCGTGATCTTTTCCAGGGCGACAGATGGAAACGGACAGCAGAGATGTCAGGTTGAAGAAGCACAATGAAGATGATCTGCAGAGAAAAGAAGGTGAGTTTATTTAGCTGGAAGGGAAGACGAGAAAGGTGATAATGATAAAGACGAGCTCACTGAGGCATTATTTGAATGACACAAATCTGATGCATCAATATTTGGCAGCAGAGGATTTGTATGTAATGTTTTGCTGAAGTTAATTTGCTTCGCCGTTACACTTTCCGTGTTTCTATAAATTATGGCCAACGTGACAGGTAGAAAATGTGTGTTCAATGTTTTCCATGACACATCAAGACTGGGAGAGATTTGCGTCTGCGTGTGCGTGTGTGTGTGTGTGTGTGTGTGTGTCTGTTCCTACCCGTCCATCTGTTGTTCTTAATCAGGAGAAGAGCAGATGAGTCCCGTCACCTGGAGACTGGCTCAGGGAGGTCCAATTAAACACACAAACACGCACAACTGGCTCGACGCGCAACACACAAATGCCTTTACAGCAACTGCCAGTTGACTAAGATAACCCCCAACATTAACAACATATTTCATCATCATTACAGCCTGTGTGGATACACATTTACAGCCCGACAGGCATACACATGGAGAGAGATCACACATGGTTAGTAAAAATATGAGACATCAGACACATTTATGTTTATTAGAGATTTGAAAGCAGTGAATGGCAACCCGTAACATTCTTTTTTTTCACACATTTTATTTCACAAACCGTTCTGATTTCAAATATCGACAATATAAAACTTGACTTTTGGCATTTTGAAAATTATTTTCAATGGGTTGAAAATGAGAGCATGTCTCTATGGGTTTCTGCATCAAATGGAGCAAACACTAAAGATAAAAGTAACAACATTTTACTGCAGCACACATGAGTGTGAACGGAAGCCAAAATGGAAAGTCTCAGATGCTGTCATCATCACACTTCAGTATCACCACATTTTATTTTGGGGACACATGCGAGACTTTTTTTCGTCCTTGTGAGAAAATCTGTAATGAGAAGTTTGTCTGTCTATATGCTATGTTTTGCAACAAAATTCTAAGGTTTTTATGACTGTTTTTTATGAGTCTCCAAATTTTTAGTAGGTGTTCTGAGAAACTAGTTGCTGAAAACCAGTACATGTGCAGATGGAGGAACTTTTACTGGTCAGTGAGGAATTTAAATGTTCTGTCTTTTTTCCAGTCTGTCAAAAGCAACATCTGAACAAACAGGTCACACTGCAACACCACTCTGTGGTGAGAGTGCCGTCATTGAAAAGAAAACGAATTTGCTATATTTTTAAACGTATATATTATATGTAGACAATGCTATTAACTTATTCTTAAATGTTGTAGAAATCAAGACTATTAGGACCCATAAAATAAATTTTGATCAATGTGACATAAGCGATTAATAATATAGGAAATAGTGGAGAGTTGGACATAATCATATGCACAGACGTACAAAAGCATTTGCAAACGGTTCAAAGAAATAAGCACAAGTGACACAATGACTTGAAGACAAAACTGATTGGATTTCAGTTCTGATCTGAGAAATGCACCAAGCAACTGAGAAAGACTGTGAATCACAGCATTATGGATGGGAGATGTGGAGCTTAGACACATCCTTCAAAAGACATGTAAGCCAAATGTTTCACATTGATGTTAATTTTGTTTTCCACTTTAATTTTAACGTAAATGGTGCCCTCATACTGTGTATGGGACTTTATTTTTCTTTTCTTCAAGTTGAGCAGATTTGTGTTTAGAAATCGCTCAGGTCTTCTACAACCTCTTTGTACTGAAACTGGAGCAGTAACACAATGTTGATCTTATTAATAATGGGGACAGATTATTCTTCCAATCACCTTCTAAACAGATATTTTAATGTGTCCACCCTCCTGTAAGCTAACTACTTTGTGATTATACATTTAGCAGCTGACCGGCCTTGACGTGGCATTGGTCTGTAATTGTGCGTGTAGCATGTTTGCGTGGTCTGGTGTGTGTCTATATGTGTGTACTTGTTAATATCTCATGATTGGCTGTGAAACCTGAAAGGACACCAACTTACAGGGACGTCCTTGAAATATAAGTTCCACATTATTTTACTGATAGGACAGCAAGAGAAAGAATGTTGTGATTTGCTTGATTCAAGGTCTCCTCAGTCCGAACACATGAACATTTATATTTTTCCAATGAAATAATACATAATCTTGCCAAAATGATAGCCTTTTATCGCACTTTGCTTTTGATGTATTCTTCACACACTACCTTCAGAGACCTGTGAATGTCTGCTCTTCTCAAATGTCTTATTCTTTTAAAGAAGCTAGAATATTACTTTTGATCTTATATTGATGAAAACAAGTTGTTTTTTTGTTGAAATTGTGTTCGCATTTCAGCCAGGAGTGAGCATGTGTGTCGGGAAAACACAATTAGTTTCAGCACAACACACTGTTTCTCAATAAAGCAAAACATTGCACATGTAGCCTGGAAAGTCAGAATGTATTTCTGTCTCTTCCTCCCTCTTTGCCTCTCATTTGGTCTTTTAGTGAAGGTGAGGCTTTGTTCTGTCCTAAAGCCGTTCTGTCGCAGTAACGCTAAATATTGCTGAGCAGCTCTTCTCATCAGGCACACACACACACACACACACACACACACACACACACACACACACGAGCACCCAAAGATGCAAGCACACACGCATACACACATGCAGACTTGCAGACACATGCAGAAGTGCTGGGCTAGGGGAGAAATGTGGCCTGTTTCTTTGCAGTTTTTGATGACTCTCGCTGTACTGGGTGAAACAGAATGCAGCTTACATTAGCACAAGATAGAGTGTCCCAAAATGAGAGGAGAGGAGAGGAGGAGAGAGGAGGAGAGGGAGAGGGGAGAGGAGAGGAGAGGAGAGGAGAGGAGAGAGGAGAGGAGGAGAGAGGAGAGAGAGGAGGAGAGAGGAGAGGAGAGGAGAGGAGAGGAGAGGAGAGGAGAGGAGAGAGGAGAGGAGAGGGAGGAGAGAGAGGAGGAGAGAGAGGAGAGGAGGAGGAGGAGAGGAGGAGAGGAGGAGGAGGGGAGAGAGAGAGGAGAGGAGAGGAGAGGAGAGGAGAGGTTTTCAATATTTTTCTAAATAATTTTAAATCTCTCCTTGTTTATTTAGAAAGCCATAACATCAGAGCTGCATGGTGTTTAGACACTGCTACACCTTCAGAAATGTTACTTTATACCAATATGAGTAAATGTGTTCAGTCAGTGTAAAGCATTTCAACTAGTAGTTCAACAGCTGCTCCACTTTTCAATTTCTTTCTCTGAGAGTAAAGATCAAATGGGCCTTTAATTATGATTCACAAGGAATAGAAACTGGGAAAAACAATTAGCCTCATTCTGCCGACAGTAATAGTGTCTTTATTTTATCATCTGGAAAATCAGTAAACATATATTTTGTTCATTAAATCTTTTTTCACAAGATATCGTAAAAACCAGTGCTCCAAACAGTCTGAAAATGTCCTTTCTGTTTCTTTTTTGAAATGTCAAACTGTAACTTAAAATCAGTAATGCTGCTATTAAAATGTACGATAAAGAAATGCAAGATCAGTCGATCGATCACATTTAGCGTCATTTTATCACTTGTATAATGGAATTCGATGAAATGAAAGTGTTTCTCTAAAACATTTAGTGCATCACAGTGGAAATGCACAGAACAGGTGTAACATGTAAATGAAGTTAAGATGTTAAGATCTCAGTCTTAACAGGAGTTCAGCATATCGACATGTTGAGGCAGAAAGATGGGCAAGTCTAGTGCGTCTGCTTCCGTTGTTGTGATATCGTTTACTTGACGGAAGGACATCAAAAAGTGAGAAGAATCTCTAACAATGTTCAAAGTCCTACTCCTGAAGTAACTCTGAAATAGATTCCGGAGTAAGAGACACTCCAATTACCCTCTCAGCTGCCTTCAATATCCTCCTCAGGCCCGTCTTGTCTACAGTATTGGAACTGTGATTGTGAGATTTACAGAACCAGCTTTTTTGCTTGTTAGGCTTTTATTGTTGTATATATATATTCATTCTGGCACAGCCATTGTGGCTGCCTGGATGAGAAAACACCATGTGCAATGTGATTTGCCTCTTTGACTCATCCCATAATAAATGCCTAAACCATGAGTCTCCTCTTTCAGTCCTTGACAGACACGTCTCTGTTCCACTTGAATGAAATGAATAGATCATGAGAGTCCTCTCCAGAGCTTGATGACATGTTGAGGAGTTAATTCAGCCATCTGATTCTGGTGTGATGGATAAGGGATTCATGTAAAAACTGGAAGATGGTGTCTGTGAAGACGACTTACCTGGACCGACAAACTACTTTTGAGATGCGATGCTTATTCTTGGACATATTTACAAATGACCGCCCAGATCCTGTTTTTGCAAACATATAATTTTCATCTTACGCTTTTCTTAGCAAAGTGCATTCATTTTGGTTCAAATTGGTTTGTTGAATATCTTAATGAGTTTAACTCCACTCCGTCTTAGGATCTTTTTGAAAATGAAGACTAACTTGTTATTAGAAAAGTGTGTCTAATAAAGTGTCTTGTGAGACCAGATGTACGCTCAATTTTAGAGAACCAGCTGTGGTGCAGATCCAAACTTCTCAGTTGTTGTGAAAAAAGCTCTGGTGTGACTACTCTCTTTATTTTTCACCGTGTGCTTCCCTAAACTCTTTCTGACCCACAATACTACTGTAAGAGATATTTCTTTTCCGCTCTCTATCTCGGGGTAATTGTGTGAATCAGGACAGATTGCATTTACTCAGACAGTTGAGTGGCGAGCTGGCAGGGTAATAAATGGCCCGAAAAACCGATACAACTGTGATTCCTTTCACCACTGAAATAAGAGAAAAAAAAAAACATAAAAAAAATCATTACCTGCCTCAGACAAGCCTATTCCATAATGTCACATGTGATCAAAAGATACTTATTTTAGAAACACGTGGTGGGACGGAGAAAAAGAAAAAACAACCAAAGGGCTCAGAGACAGAGAGAAGACTCAAGTGAAGGAGCTGCACTGCTGATAACAGGTTTCTCTTGT